GAACCACCTGTCTCTTAAGTGCTTTCACAGTACTTGTTCAAACCAAATGATATCTTTCAGACTAATCTTAGAAACACAGAGCACAAAGACTGTTCTTGGCCTTAGTTTAGCAGCAGATAAAAGTGCCGTGCTCCATTCTGATTATTTTAAATCACACTGTGGCCTTCAGTTATCTTGATTTTTTATATCAGTCTGGGGCAGGAGTATGATACTTCTGCAGCTTGTTAGCTTTGGCTTCAAAAATACAACATATCATCCCAAAACAGCTCAGCCAGCAACAACCCTCTCCTGGTGGTCTTTTGGTGTCCTCTCTGAGCTATTTTCCCATATGGAGTCAATTTTGAGGACAATCTTTAGGATCATTTGGTGTCCTGAGGACAACACCACAACATGTTGCAGTAAAAGAACTTTGCAGTCTTTTTTTCCACCAAGAGACACATGATTTCCACAATTAAATCTTTTTATCCTCCACTGGTCTGCCAAAAAGTCATCCATATTTTAATCCCTCCTTGTTTAGATTACCTTAACTCTATGTTTTTTCATCAGTCGACAAACAAGATTATATTTCCCAAACCTCTGCGCCTTTAGACTGGTTACACGTTAGCTTCAAAAGTGATTTTAAGACTTTAATCATCTGTTTTAAGGGCTGGCCATATGTCCATGGAGCTTAGCTACATCACAAAAGTCATATTTATACTTGATATTATGTAATGTTTATAATCAATTCTTTGACCTTGCTTATACATTATTCTTGCCTTGCTTTTGTTTGTTTTTTTCAAACATCTTTAAAATTAAGCTTTGAGATGTTAAATCCTAATAAATGTTGATGGTGATTATTACAATTGATTTTCATAGTGGCTGTGGTGGCTGAGAATAAGTCCTGACACTTATTCTGGAGGCATTACATCAAACTCCACCCTCCCATATTGGAGAATTAATCATTTCTGTGAACAATTGAATTTTGGAGATATAGCAGTTTTTCACTTTGCAGCTCGGCCGGAAAGTGAGAAGTGCTGAATCCTCATAAGCACTCAAGGACATTTGTACCCTGGAGCCTTGCCTGGGTGGGTCTGTCTGTTAGCAGTTAGCAGTGTCCCCAGCCAGCCTTTAGCTCCAAGGGCGGTCTCTACAACAATATCACTGGGCCAAGCAAGGAAGGACTTCCTCCCAGATGCTTGAGTGGATGAATAATGACACTGTAACACAGCCTCTCTCTCTCTCTCTGATAATGAGGAACAGAAGAGCAGACCCTCCCCGAGGCACAGCACCTGGACTGGACTGCCTTCCTGTCTACCTCAACCTCCATCTCTCTCAGGAGATAGGCTGAGAAGAGTAAGACTTTGGCTGTTTGCCAAGCTCTCAGTCTCAGTTACACTCACTCAGTTTGGTCTAATTGTGAAATTACGATGTGGAATCATCTTATAAAATTACTTAGCCATGTTTGAGCTCGTCAGGCCCCACAAAATGTTCACAAAAAACACTTTTTTTAATTGTGTGTTTTTGTGTCAAGCATCTTTACCTTTCAATATACGCTGCCTAGCTTCTTGCCTCCACACCTATATCCTTCTCTTTCCCTCTACTTCTCACTTGTTTCCCTGCAGAGAGGCTTTACCAAGTGGAGTCAATTAAAACTGTACATCTAAGTGAGAAATGTCTGTTTGAGTGTGCATGTCGGTGCGCATGGTTTCATAACCATGCTGTGTGCCTCTTTGTGTAAATGTGTGAATTTGTGGTATTTTCAAATGTATGTGTGTGAATGTGCATGTGTGGTGTGAGTCTATGTATGTGTGTGTGTGTGTGTAAATGTCTGAGTGAGTGTAGAGGCGGGGGCTCCCCTGGGGCTTGGCAGTATGGCGCCGTAGCGCTGCACACTCCTCCTGTGAAAACGCCTCCAATGGGACTGGGACAGCTGTGGCCAACCTATACCGCTTCATGGGCCATAACAAGCCTTATGACACACACACACTCTCACACACACACACACACACACGTATATACACACCTATTACTCCAATCCTGCCAACTCTGTCTGGCTGTCTGGGTGCCTCCTTGTTTTGTCTGTCTGTCAAGTACTATCTCTCTCTCTTTCACAGACTCACACACACTCACCCATTCCTCTCTTTCTTTCTCTTGCAGTCTCCAGCACAAGTGATGCTTCCCGACATATGTGAAAGTCCATTTTTTTCCCCCTTCTTTTTTATTCGAACAGCCCACTCTTTCTGCCTCCCGCGCAGCAAGTTGGTGTCACACGACTGCAGGGGTTGTCTGCACGTCTGAAAGGAGTTTTGAAAATGAAACAAAAACTACACAATGAAGAAATAAAGTATCAAGCAACACACATTCATTCATCTCATCAGCTATTGTATATGAGCGAACAAGAGTAACTGCTCAAGTAAGCAAAGACTTTTTGTGCTTTCATGAAAAAAACAAAACAAAAAAAAAACCAAATCTATCTTCATGATCGTGGTCACACAAATGCAACAATAGACAGACTTTCTTTTAATTTCATTTATTTAACAGTCACCAGATGATGAGATACATTCTCTTAAAAAAGAAATAGACAACAAAACTGATATTCTTTTGAGATTTTAAAAACTATTATACAATATTCTTAATATATAGATTTTGTACAAAATAAAAGTCAGTAAAAGGGGCAACGGGAGAGAGTGACATCTTAAAAAACAGAGAAAGAAAAAGAGGAAGGGGACAGGAGTTGACTCAAACAACGACCACATTTAGGAGTGACAAAGACCAATCTCTTTCATAAATAAATATAGGAAAATTAGACATCATATATAGCTCTCTTTCCAATAGCAGGGCATTGCTAAATGTCTGTAGCATAGGTTAGAACATAACTGCTTTGTGAGGCCCATTTGCTTCAAAAATTCCACGCATTTTCCACAGAGATTAGCTGGAACCAGTGTGGCTAAAAGCCCTGAAATATAAGTATTTACCTCAATAATGGGTCTGATAGTCTGTGCCGTGCTTGACCTTTGGTTGTAACAATAACCCCCACCCCACCCTTACACTCCCCTTCCCCTCCCCCCCCTTCTTTTCCTTTGTGTGCCGTACTTGGTACAGACCAAGCGCAGAGAGTCTCCTTAAGTGAACTAGAGAATAGGGATGTCCTCTTTTTTTCTCTCTCTCTCTTTCTCTCTCTTGCAAGGTCAGTAAGAAACAAGCTTCAGACTCCCCCCACTCGCAAACACAGAGACCACTGAGCAGAGCACACATGGGAGGGGTGCACCGTATAGGAGTATAGGAAGGTCGTACTGCACTACCAACGTCATTTCACCATTGAATTCCATCCGCACACTGTGGATATTTCAGCGCTGTTTTTGTTGGTCCTTAGAATTTCAACAATACAACAACAACTACAAGACAACAGAATAAACACACAAAAAGTGGATGTGGATGGCTGTGGGGCATCACAACCCTGTTTGACATAGACTCATGCCACTCAGATTGGCTGATTGTTTTCTCCTTAAATCACCCCCCTTTGCACCTATTTGAATATTTGAAGCTCAGGGTATAAGCACTGAAAACATGGGAACAAGGGAACACAAAATACAGATAATGGAGGTGATTTACAATACAAATACACTACCTGTTTTCAGACGCACACGCCCAAAGAGCATGAAAACTGAAGCTGATGATTGATCCCACTGCAACAACAGACTTTTGTTCTATCCTTGTCTCCATCTTTTCTTTGTTTGTACCCTCTGTGAGCAGGCAAGCGGACAGTGACATTGGCCCTTCTCAGAGCAGGACAGCAGGCAGAGTGACTTGGCGTTAATCACAGTTTTGTCTCGCTTTCTTGGCACATTAAGTCAGAGGGGCGAGTGGCGGCCCGGACGGCCGGGGTGAGAGATGGGAGGACAACGCGTTAGATTCGCAATAATGACGCATCGCTGCTGCATCACTTTGGAGATTAAAAGCAAGATGCTGAATTTCAATCAAGCCACATTAATGGCCTGGTGTGAGGAATGGCCACTTTGTCTCCACTGGCAGGCAGAGAGAGTGAGAGAGATTTAGAGAAGGAAAGAGAGAGAGAGAGAGAGAGAGAGAGAGAGAGAGCGTGGTATGAGAAGAACAGGTGAGACAAGGTGATACGACATTTTAATTCACCAAATTGCATGCTTGCCAGTAATGATAGAATCCATTTAACGATGTACAATATTCTCTAACCAATGGCAAAAGGGCTTTAACGAAACATCCCAAAGAACAGTCAAAGTGCCAAGGACTGAATGCATGTAGCTATAAAATAACAGGATTGGAACTGATGAATATGTGAATGTGTGAAAACAGTAAACTGGTCTCAGTTTTATTTAAATGTATTGTACAAATATTCTAAAACAAATGTCAAATCTCGGTTTAATAAAAAATATTGTATTAATTCATATTTAAGATTTTCAGAGTCGAGAGTTAAGGAAAAGGAAATGTCTAAGGTTTTGAGCTAACACTGACACCAGAGGTACTAAGGATTTATTGAAAAAAAAAAAAGATTGTCTCCACCACTGACAATGACGGCATATGAGGTGAATAGGAGTCCAATTTTAATTCATTGCCAACATCTGACATTTTATCAACAGAGCTTGTGATTTCCCCATTTGTTACCATTAAATCCTGCAGCCACCTTACAAAACATGCCAAGCTCTGCCTGAGCCGCTCTGTGAACGTGTTACACTGCGAGATGTGACCCACTTGCAATAAAGTGCATTGAGAGTTCAGTTCTCATGGTAGATGAGAAGCGATGTTGGGCAAGCACAGCTGAGAGATTGTCATCACAGTATAGCTAATACGAGGAAAAACCTAATGTGACATGAACTAGATCTCTTGGGGAGGGGAGGGGGTAAAAAGAGGAGGGGGTGACAGAAGAACTGTCAAGACAACAAAGAGATATGGGAGTGTTGGTCGTATAGTCTCTGTGTCAAGTCAGGAATGTCACAGTTGAACACAGTGCTTCATGGGGGGGTAGTTCTTTCTGAGGGTCCTAGACTTCAGCCAGGCACCCAGCTCTGGTTGCTATGGGCTTGCTGTGGACTGGCCAGACTGCTCATTCCCATCCCCATGCCCATGGTCACACCCATCCCCATCCCCATGCCAATGCCCACGCCCTGGGCTAGGGAGCAGTCAAAGTTAAAGTCCATCTCCTCCCCAGAGTCCATAATGTCATGGAGGAGAATGGACTCCACATCGCAGTCCAAGCTACCGTGGAACATGTCAATGTCCAAGTCGGCTGGTAGTCTCTCATGGGGGTGAGGTTGGTGATAGCCATGGTAGTTGCTACCAACGCTACCATTCCCCATCCCCTGGCCATGGTGGTAAGGTCCGTTCGTCATGCCTTGGTGTTGTGGGTCAGGGTAATGGTTGTGACGGGGGTGTGGGTGTGGGGCGGTTGCCACGTGGCAAGAGTCCTGGGGCATGCCAAGCATACCTGCTGGGTTTGGGGGGAGGGTGGTGGACGCAGGGAGGTGAGCATGTGATGGGGGGCTGTACAAGTAGGGAGCTTTGTGGTTGTAGGTCTGCAGCTGATTGCCGTTGCCACGTGGGGTCAGGGCCGCAGCCCGGGGGGATGTGTGGTTATGGCTCTGGTTGAGGTTGTGACTGTTGTGAGCGAGACTGTGAGGTGAGTTGTGGTTGTGGTTGGTTACACTGTTGTGATTATGACTGGGAGTATGGCTGTGAGTTCTGTTATGGCTATGAGCTGAGCTGTGACTGTGAGGTCCATTGTGGGTGTGGCTATGGCCGTTGTGGTGACCAGGGTGGTGGCTGTGATGGTTGGAGCCTACTCCATTACTAGCTTGACCGATCATAGGATGGCTTTCCCTCTCCTGTCCCAGCATCATGTCCTTGGAACAGTATTGCTGCCCAGCTGGACCCCCTGTTAACAGACTCTGCAGGGCATTGGTACTGGAGTACGCCCGCATGGTTCCAGAGAAACTAGCTGGCTTGTTCTCCTGAATGGTCTGCATGGGCGAGTGGTGGCGCAGCATCCCCAAGCCTGTGGCTCCATACACTCCTGCACCATAGGAGCTCTGCCCCTTCACTCCAGAGCTGTAGTGATAGACAGGGGTTTGGTGCTTGTGTCTTCCAACAGCCGGATGCTGCTGGTGTTGCTGCTGCTGTGGGTGATGGTGATGATAACTATCCTCCATCAGCTGCTCATCCAGACTGATGGCTCCTGCCAGGTTAGCCAGCTGAGGCAGCTGCTCAAGGGGAGGACAGCGATTCCCTGCCCCCATGGATGGAGAGCGGGCACTGGTCGGTGAGGGGTAGAGGTGGGGGGAGGTGGAACAAGACAGGCCACCCTCCTCTGGTTCCTCAGGTTCTTCCTCGGCGAGGATGGGTGACAGACGCCCGCTCAGAGTGGAGGCTGATGAACTAGCCCTGGAATGCAGGTCTGTCCAGGCATCAAACTCTCCATCTGTCCCAGAGGTGCCTCCAGCTCCTGGGAGGCCTTTCCGTGGTGGGCTGCCATGGTCGGGGGACCCCTGGAGTCCCACCACAGCAGACCCCGCTCCTATCCCAGGGCGGCCAACCCTCTTGCCTCTAATACGGCCTTTGCTTTTTAGGTATTTGGTGCCATTGTCCATGGAGACTGCTCGCCGGCGTGGGGCCTTGCCCATCTTCCCTCCATCTGGGTTCAGCATCCACCAGGAACTCTTCCCAGTCCCCTCATTCTGCACCCGGATGAAGCGTGTGTGGAGGGATAGGTTGTGTCGGATGGAATTCTGTGGAGAGATGAGAGAAACACACTGTTTGTAGACAAACTGCTTTTCTAAAGATGAACACTTAAAATCAGTGAAATTTGCATATGATTCATGTAAAATGTTCCATAGGAAAATAAGAATTTCTGACATCAAACATAAAAATCAACAATGAAGACGAAGCTAATTACAACCACAGCTGTCAACAGTGCTTATAAATCATTCAGTCTATACATGTTGAGTCACAGAAAAATTGTGCCAAATTATCAGGTCGCTTCCTTTTCTGTTATTAGATATATAAAACACACAGTAGATATTCAACCCTTTATGCAATCAGTGTCATCCACAGTCTGAAAATTGAGAGCACATTCAAAAAAAACAATCATGTTCGAAGCTGGCACAGAACAAGACCCACTCAGCCTCAACCAATCTGAAACGACCTGAGACTCAGTTTTGAGACACTCTCCTTCTGTACGTCAATCCTCCCACTTTAATTTCCATCAATCCATCTGTCCTCCTCTACTTCTCCTTTCAGCCGGCCTGATGTAAGCTGCTGCGGTTGGGTGTACTGTGTGTTTGAAGTCGGTGCCAGTCTGGCTTAGTGCCAACCCTGTCTCTTTCGCTCTCGTAGCTTGAATGGGGGGATGTATCGCAAGATTGAGCCGGGAGCAAGGAAGGCTAATGGATGTATCCCACCCTCCGACATCTACCTTCACTCCCTATCTCCCTTTCCCTCCCTTGTTTTGTCTTTATCACGTTTCCTCTTTCCCTCTTTGTCACTGAGTGCTACATACTGGATTTCAACTTGTCTAGGTTTTCCTTTTTCTTATTTCACACACTTATTTGCACACAAGTTATTTTCCACTTCTGCTTTCAGTCTCCATGCCTTCAATTATACAGTGTGTCACCAATTACTTTCCCATTATCCTCAACATCGGCATGTACAGTCACTGACTCAGGCATTCAATAGGATATAGTTTTTTTGTTATCATTTACATCTCAAGGCTTGCTGAATGCTGAAGGTTCCTGATGTGCAACAGAGTCTGTCATTGCTATTCTGCTCTTTGTTGTGCGTGGGGCATTTTGACGCTCAAGCACGAAAATATCAAATCAAAAGCACTTCCTGTGGTTTAGGAATATACTGGTACAATAGATTGTTTCAGATTGCGGGGTACTCACATTTCCACCATCTCCATTATGGTGCGGATTATTTGTATTCACACTGAATTGCACAGCAGGGAAACAAATAAATCAAATTGCGGCGGAGAACACATCAATGGGAGGCGAACTGAATTCAGGTGATCTGTGAATGCCTCCTTGGGTTATCTTGCTGTGGCACCTCCAGCATTGGGTAACTATGGCAACCGGGTAAACGTGCAAAAACGTGCAGAACTATATCATATTGTGGTGAGAATCAGGAGAGAATGAGAGAGAGATGGAGGGAGAGTGGGGGATGGGGGAAAGGATGCAAGAGGAGGCGGTTGTTTGATGCTGCTGCTCCAACACTAAACAGCCTTTCATCTCGGCAGTGCAGGTCCGCAGGGGATGCCCGCTCCCTGCTTCTGACGGCTTCTCTACGTGCCGCGCCAACTCCCTGTCTAACCCTGGCTGGATCATCCACCTATCATACCACTCCAAATCATCCCCATCAAGTCCTGTGCATGCCTGAATTAAAACATATGTAAGCTTTCATGCCATTCCACCACAGCCGGTTGTAAATGGGGCATCTTTCAGAGAGCTGAACCACTTCATGCTGCAACTCTGTGTGACCTGTGTGATTCAAATCTCGATTTATCCCCATATGAAGGGAAGAGCAGCCCCATTGAACTTGGAGGGATTTGTCATCATCCCAAACCCTCTTTATCTGATGAATCCACCTGCTAGAGAGATTTGAGAGATTTCGGATAGTGGTCAGCCACGGCATCATCATCATCACCATCATCATCACTCGCTCCTGGCTTCCTGTCATGTAGTTTTCCACCACATGTTTTTCTCTGTCATCCTGTTTGTGTGTGTGTATTTTAGTATCCAAGAATAGCTCAGGTTGCAGGTGGTTCCACTGCGGGTGTGGTTCTATCCGCCTCCTGTTCCCTGAGTCTGAGTCAGGGGCAATTTGGCCAGCCTATGGCCCTCACGCCCCCGAAACAGGCAGTCACTGCTAATCCCCCTCCATCCCAGAGTAATCCCAGACAATCCTGGGCTAATCCCAAGTTGATTCAGGGGCACTCCCAGCTGGGTGTCTCACAGAGAGCCATGCCAGGTCACCACGGACCCAGCGGGCAGCCCGGATATGCTATGATCCAATAGTAATACAGAATAAGGGGAGTTTGAGATGTGGGAAATAGGCACACTATAAAACCCTTATAGGATGTGGTGTAAAACTATTGCTAATGTTTGTGTGTGTGTATTTTATTAGATGATTTCTGAGGTAGTGGGCTGATGTTAACCATGTTTTTGATGCCTCCATCGACTTGACTACCTTTACTCTGTGTGCTGTCCTTGAGGGTTGGCTTTGCCACATTTTTACCCCTGCGGGTTGAATAGAATAAAATTGAAAACTTTATTATGTATTAAATATTCATAAAATGGAAATTCTCTTTCAGCCCCCTGGCTTGCTGAGGCAGACGGATGAAGCCCACAGAAATATACAATGACAGAGGAACACACACATCACACGCCCGGGTCCAGGAAGCTACTTCCTATTCAAATCATACCTCTTTAATACAATGGGCCTAGTGGAGAGGGCTCTAAATAATGAATGAAGCAGTGGCTGGGCTTATGCAGAGAGATGCACTGCCTGGTCCCATAATACTGAGAAGAACAGACAGAGTCATAAGTAGTGGTGTGACTGTTTTGTCATCAGGGACATCCACACTCATCAGTCTACAAATACAACTAAATCAGAATGAAAGGGGTTAATTTGAAAACAAAGTAAAAGAGGATAAAGGTAATAGTTTATGGACCAATCAAAGCCAATTATGGTGAAAAGGGTTCTCTTGGCTGCAGGAAAACAATCAGCTTGGGTTCAACTCTCATTAAAGCCTAAAAATCCTGATAGCTGATTTAGATATTAAGACAACAGATACCAAGCCACATGATAGGCCTCTTTGTCCTCAGATTAAAAGATTAGACTCTTTTCAAACACATCTGACATGTTGACACTTTTCTACAACACACAGGTGGACTTAGAAGTAAGAGGGTTTTTTTTTTCACTACCTCAAGGAAGGAACTGAAGTGTTCAAACCAGAAACACACAGAAACTTCTTGTGTGAATCTGGTCCAACAGTTTATTGTTCATCATTTGGTGATAAGCAGAAACAGGTTTCCTCGTATTCATCCATAATAACCTCTTTAAGAAGCATTCCTTTGGCTCTTGGAAATCTTACAATACAAATCAATTGCTCTACTTTCTGCCTCCCTTTTTCCAAGCAAACTCTGTTTGATTCAGGGACTGGAGAGGCCTATTTAGTGCAGTGAATCAATGAAGTTTAATGGCTATCAGTGCTGAAGCTTAGCACACATCAAGGTACGGCTAACTACACAATCCACCTGCATTATGAGGCCAATATGGGTGCTCAATATACCATATCCCCACTGTTAGCAATTCCACTGTTAACAATGTGTAACCGCCACAGGCTTGTGACGGCGCTCAAACTGGCTTGGTGCCCAACACGCCCCACTGTTTCCTCTCTCAAGATGTCAGTCAGGCATTAGCATCGGGAGTAGATGTAGTAAGGGGTTGTTACGTTGGGCTCAGTGGCTCGTCTAGGATAACCAGATTGACTGGCATGGAGTGCAGCTGTGCTAGGGGGGTACAGCAGGAGGTGGAGGGTGGGGAGCCTGGGGGTGGGAAGATAGAGGTACCGCAAGGGGCCCCCTCCAAGCCACACAAAAGGGTGCCCTCAAAATGCCCCCCGCTCGCCCCATCCCCCTCCATTAGCCCCCCATCAGAACCCACTCAGGGTTTTTCCCGCTCTCACACACATGCTCACACACAGAGGGGCGAGGAAACAGGTCAAACAGTTTATAGGTCCCATCTTGTGGCGAATGTGCACTCATTCAAACAGAACTGAGTGAGGAACTAAGGACTGTGAGTGGGGTCTGGGAACTGGCAAAAAGAAACCACTCACCCGATTCAAACAACCTCAAGGGTGAAGCAGCGTGGTGCGCTTGCCCAGCTAAGAACACAGCAGCTGTTCTTGTAGTGGCACCGGGTAAAGCCGTTTGCCACACTCGACTGGTATTACCAAACCATTTCATGCAGAATGGAGCCATTATGTATTGTCAAAGGGTATCCCTCTATGGTGCACATTCATTTGATAAGCCTAAATCAAGGGGGAGTAACAGAAGCGCTAACTGTGTTTATTGTGATGCTGTTTTTGCCTGTGCAGAAGGCAGGAGGGATCAGGGGGAGGGGAGATTTCAACACAAGCAGTTTTGTTCAGCACAGGAATGAGTTTTGTCAGCTAAGCCTGTCTCCAGGCTATTGGTGGAAATTAGCGCCGGCTAAATATTCGCTTTCCGTGATTGATGTCACGGCTCGCGTTGTCCCTTTGAAGGGAAATAAAGAATTTAGAGCCATGTGGATTAATAGGGATAGGGTTGGGGGAATTTAATGTGTCTGAGGGGGACTTGAAGAGGGACTGAAGGGCCTAATGGCTGCACAGATATGGCACAATGGAGCCGAGACGATATGGTGTATCAGAGAGTGAGAGAAGACAAGTGAGACTATGACAGTGAGTACAAGAAAGAAAACTGGAAATTGTTTGTGTGTGTATGTGTGTGAAAGAGGGAGAGGGAAGGAGAGAGATGTAGCTATTTGCCTGAGAAGCCCAGAGTCAGATGATTAAAATCCCTTTAGGAGACTTCTTTAAGAGAGACAGATGGGCAGACAGGCCTGTTTTTGGAATGCAATCAAATTGAAAAGATTAAAAAGGAGTCTCTTTTATTAGGAGGTGAGAAACAGTTACTTCTCCGCCACATGTCATCATTGCCTCCACAACAGTGGTCACGACTACATTGGC